TTAAAGATTTTTTTTTCAACACGTATGGTGGAAGAGCTATACTTCCTACATTATAAAAAAAAGTTTTAATAAGTGAAGTAAGTAGGTTAAAATTCCTGTCAAATGTGGGTTTCCTTTCTTTTCAATTCAATTCAATTTGCTAGACATTTATTCAACGTTGTTCATTAATACACAAAATTAATGTTACAATTATAAATCAACAATGATGCGTGGTTCTGAAAAAGACAGGTTGGAGTAAGTTATTAAGCCAGTGAGTATGTCAGTGAGGTACAAAGATGACAAAAATCATACGTTCGTTAAGATCAGCCCCTAATATAGGAATGGATAAACAAGTACCAAGTGGTATAACCCACGACGGGCGGGTGACGTGTGAAGACGGCTTTAATACGGCACAGTGACCCGAATGAGTCGTGATCTAATATGCAAAATGTGCAAATTAGACACATGCGCATCAGTGTTTTCAAAAGCGGTCTTCGAATACAAAGCTGGAAGACTCAAGTTGCATGAATACAAAGCATGGCCGAGTAAACTGCCCACCAACCAACCTACCCACCCACCTACCCACCACACCCGTCGTGGGAAAACAGCATGAATGTAACGGTGTAGTAAGAACAACCTGCTAAGTTTTTCAATCGGGGTAATTCCGTGGTTTTGTCAGAAGAGCAAGATGTCACACTTTGCACCCTAGATTCATAGAATGACCAGTTTGTGGTCTCTTCCGTCCACGCGCATGATCGTTAGACGGAAACCCAATCAGAGAAGCAAACACAGCTGATTTTATTGTTCGTTTTTCAGTTGTCTCACAGTCGTGACAAAAATAAGCATTACCTCCGATCCCAGCTGATTGTGTGCATTGCCCAGGAACGTCTTGTTGCCGTTTTTAGGAGTCTCAAGATTGGCACAGGTGATTACTGTAGGACAACCACAATTTATTTCTTATTAGGTTACAATTGAACGTTTTATTTTAAACCAGCTGGGGTAGATTTTCTCGGTCCGCACTGCTAGTTAATAAATGACAACTTTGATCCTCAAGACAATCAGGCTACGTCCATTTGAAAAATGTGCTCAACTTCAAGCCGTGCCAACAATATCAAAGGGAAAATACGTCCCGGAAAGCAGCCAATTTGGCTACAAAATGCGTTTTAAACTAATTGATAATGATTAGTCAGAATATCTGAAAAGACAATGTAAACGTCCACACAACCATCCTTTTCAAATTGGCGGTTTTTGTGTTGTTCATGCGAGAATGAATTTTGGGGGTCAACATTTTGACTCAGAAACGAACTGTTTGGGTGTTAGTCGTTATTGCAGTCGCACATGTTCCAATTGTGCACAGTTGCAAACATCATGGCCAAAATTAAACTCTGAAACAAAGTGTGAATAGATTACAAAACACTTTTGAATTTGAACCGAAATATGGCTGTGGATATAATATCCCATACATCAAGACAGTACTTACAATCGAAGGAAGCTCCGTAGGCTATCCAGTACTGCTCATAGGCCAGCATGGTGACTTTAGCCAGCTCGGTGATCCCCGTGGTCAGGAAGTCATACTCGCAGTACGGATTGGCCTGGCAGATCTGGTTCAGTTCCTCCGTCCCATTCCACTCCGAGTCCGTCGGCGGGAAGAAATCCGGCACGAAGCTAGGGTCCTGGTAGTAGTCGTGGCCGAGCCCTTTGTCGTAGTGAAACAATGTTTGGTCGGGTACTATCTCCCCTGAAAAGTGGACGGAATAGTGTCATCAAGGAGAGGTGTGAGAGAGAGTCGGTGGCCTAAATTTATCTCAATCGTGTCAATCAGTCTCGATGCAAATTGCAAGGAAAACTATGTCACACTATAAACTGTCCTGGTTCATATTTTGATTTGTCAAAATGGCCCCCAAAATTTGGACTCGACAATGTGTGATTTTTTTACCCTGAAAGCATCATGCCAAACAGAACCGGATTTTTTGTCACTCTGAACTTTTTAGATTGAACGTTTTGGATTGACGAAATCTGGTAACAGCAGTTTCCTAAACATGGCACCTACAGGATTGACCAAAGTCGTTGTAGAGGGTCTCCGGTGGGTCGTCGGGATCGAACAGCGTCCCGGACCTGGAGCGGAGATCGTTGTCCCTGTTGTCGTCCCACGAGCCGAAGAGTCCCGTCACCAAGTTCTATACCAAAGAGACGACAGAAAGGAGACGACAACATGACGATGACGCAGAACATGTTAAGAATCGATTATATATATGTTTGTGGCATAGTTAGCTTGATTTACCAGAGGATGACGCAATGGAGGCGCCCTTGCTGCATGTGATGTCACTTCAGGCACACATTCGTCAGTTGAAAGATTGTATTACATGTATACACATTGTGAACATAAGATGTGGCTTTTTGTAAACATTCTTTGTACCAAATGTTTGCTAGATAATTTACTCTCATGTGCCGAATCAACTGACAATAAAACATCAAAAACTGACCATGGCAAACACCCCCCCCCCAAAAAAAAATGCTGGCAACATTGTGCTGAAGCAGCAGTAAATTCAAATTGAAATGATAATAAACAATGTAGTACAACGACTAAATAAATTGAATTACGATGAAGCCTCTGTCTTGAATGACATCATAGTTTACTGATGAACATTTGTACTAGCAGTCAAACCAAAAATGCCCCGGGAAAAAAAACCGGCAAGAAAAACATCAGAAGTAAAGTGAAATCGAACACAAGGAAGTGTTTTCAGGACTGCAGTAAAATGTTAGCATGCGCGCTATCAATCCTTATTCTTCCCTTCCCTTTGCTGATGTCCCAAGGTTTCTCTACGAATACGTCACTGTTTGTCAAAAACATGGACGGATAATTGAAGGATATCGATGGTATTACTTAGAATAATGACGTTAATGCCACGGTTGTCTGCGATTAGAACACGGATGACCAAGGTTCTCCTACGAATAAAGCATACATAATAGTAGTACAACCTAAGCAGAATCCCAGCATATCCGGGCATATCCGTAGAGATTTCTACCACAAATGAGCTACGAATCTCCACGAATATGTACGAATAGAAACGAATAACAAAAAACGAGTTGGTACGATTGTCCTACGGATGTCCTACGGTTGCACTACGGATTGATTTTCATGACGATTCACAACTGAAGTTTGGAACAGTTTAAACTTCCGTATAGCCCCTCCACGAATACCAAGGAGGATGACGGATAAACACGGAGGTACTAAGGATGATTACGGTACTCCAGTTTATCACGAATTTTAAACCGTGGATATCCGTAGCTCCAAACCATGAATATGTGACTGGAAGTTTACATCTCAACCAGCATTTGCCTTCTGACTTTGTGTTCATTGTGTTTGTTTGTTGTTTGTTGGGGTGTTGGGGTGTTGGGGTGTTGGGGTGTTTGTTTGTTTGTTTGTTTGTTTGTTTGTTTGTTTGTTTGTTTGTTTTGGGGTTTTTGGAGGGGAATGGGGTTTTGACTGTTGAAATCCTACCTTGAATCGGTAAGGCACCAGGACCTGCGCGGTCAGCATTTCCTGTGTGCCGTCGACGACTATCGCAAACTCCGAGTCGATAAATGTCACGATGACCTGGGTCAAGTTCCCCGTCTGCTTCTCCTGGGGGAAGGTTAGAAGAAAGCTGTGGAAGAAATGACAAACACGAAAGATGAGCGGAGACGAAAAACAAGGTTATAATTGTTAAATGTCTATGATGGCAGAAAACGGTTTGGGAACTGGGTTAAGAAGCTTTGCGCTGAAATGGCAGCATCGAGATATCACTTCCCACGGAGCTAAGATGGTCTTTGGAATGTTTCATGTGCGTCAATGAGAAGGGGGAAATGCTGCCTAGTGCTATTAGCAGTATTCGTACCCTTTCTAAACACATGTTATAATTCTTACTTACCAACTTTACTTGGCTGGGGTGATTCCAACTAAACATGTATTTGGGACTGTCTTAACCTATGTTAGGACATAGTTGGGGCGTAACATCATTATCAAAGGTGCTGGATATACAAAAAGATACCCACGGCCATCGCGTATGGTGGTCTGGTCGTCGATCGCCAGGAGCTCGGTGTCGATAAAAATCTCCAGGATGGTCCGATCGGACTTCCGGATCATGATCTTTTCCTTGTCGTCTTGCTGCATCCCACAGCTGTCAGTACAGTTGCATTCCTACGTACGCCTTTTGAAATGAGAGTCAAATTTACGAGTGAAGTCTTTATGTTCGACTGGTTTGTTTTTATCAGGACTAGGTTTTGTTATAACGTCTGGAAAAACTGTCTAGTACAAATATTTATTGGACACAAGGTGATGAGTTAAGAGCAGTAACTGCAAATAAAATTGTTAGAGCGAGTCGCCATGTTGGACAGTTACACTACTTTCTACATCTTACTCTGCAGACTAGGGTTCAGAACCTGTCTGAAATTGACTTTATCGGTCCCAACTTGATCGACTGGATCTTCTGACGTAAGGTGTCAATAGATTTGTTGCACCGTGCCAAATTGACATCTACAGGGATGCATCTCTTGAAGTTGTTTTTTAAAAGTGTGCCCGGGCCAATTTTTTTTTGTTGCGTGCGGTAGCAACCTTACAGGATCCAATTACGAGAGACTCCCAAACATGTCGTCAGCAACAACACGAAGTAACACCCTTGTTCATAGCATTAAAAACTAGCAATCGGAGAAAACGGTAACTAAAGTTGAACGCTTTCTAAAACAACGCTTTGTGTCAAAACTGCCCGAGTATTTTCAGATAGGTTTCTCGTTGTGGACACTTGATGTATTAAATTTATTAAATCTGCTGTTTTTCACCTGTTTGTACATTAAATCAACAAGAAATCAGAGGGGAAAAGGTGAGTGTTAGTTCGTGCAACCGAAAAAGCTGCGAAACTGTAAATTTTCTTTTTAACGAAGAAGTATACTTCGGGTCAGAACACGTTTGCAATCTATTGAGCACTAGTAACAACAGCAACATCAAAATGATGGTTTAAGGTACCTGTATTGACCCTGATATATCACGGAGCGATGAATTTACCATTTCGGTCGAGGATTTCCTCGAACCGTCCCTGAAGTCTGAATTGTGTCTGGGATGCCGACGTGGTGTCCAATAGCGTGTACTCGCCCTTAGCATTAAAGGTGTACTCAACACCGTCGAAGGTCGCAAAGTGAGGGTCTCCGTACACAGTCGCTACAATTAAAGACAAATAAGCAAAAACAGAAGCAAAAGAAATTAAACACAATCTTACGTCACAACACAGGTTTCCTCGGCTTTTCGGGTAATGAACCCAAACTTTTTTCTTTTGTTTTTATCCAAATCAAGAAATATTGCACCAATCCAATCGGTTAGCAGTCTTCAAAAGTCGTCTTGAGTATAAGAATACTCTCATTGATATTCTGATACCCAAGTCGGTGAGTCGGTGAGTCGGTGAGAGCGATTCTGGAGTGCTTTGGCCTCGTGGTCTGGATTATTGAATTTGCGGTCTTCGGGTAATTCCGTGGGTTCTGGGTTCGAGTCCAGCCTGCGGCTACGTTGCGTGTGCCCTTAGACAAGGCACTTTGTCACTCATTGCTTCTCTCCACCCAGGAGTAAATTGGTACCAGTGAGGGCAGAGATAGTTATTGCGGTTGATTAAGCTGCTTGGCGCCGAAATGGCATCATGGAGCTTTATACTCCCCAGGGGGCTGAGATGGTATATGGAATGTTTCATTGGCCCAATGAGCAGAGTAATAATAAGCGCCTTGTATCTTTTGGCAATTTGGCGCTCTATGTGTCCAGTTATTTTTATTATGTTGATATCCTCGCACGACTTATACTATGCAGGGCCCTCTTCTCTTTTATATATACACATATAAATGCTACCGGTTTTGTATAAGTTAAACATTCCTTTAAATTAAGTCCACCTGACTTAAATAATGGAAATTCGTTAAAGGAAATATCATCATTCTATTCATACTGTATAAACATTTATGTATTTTAATTACAACAAAACATGGATTGAAAGGTCCATTTTCATGACAACAGAAGATAGACTTTTCAGACTTATTTTTTTCATTAGCAAAAGGAACCGGCCGGTTCTGGTTCTTTAGGCAACCAGTTCAAATGAGGTCGGTTTAGTATTGTTTTAGGGATAAAAACCCTGAGGTTAATTGTTTTTTCTTAAGGATAAAAAAGTTGTGAGTGAATACTATCCGTTGTTTTCAGTTCACAGTATTTTGTTATGCATGATGCGCTGTTTAGTGATGCTACCTTTTGGGACCAGCACTACCAAAATTCAATTCATTTAAGCTTTTATCAACTTATCGTAAATCTTGAAAAACCAAACTAAAAAAAATGAAATGTTTCACTTGCAGCCACATGTAATACATGTAACCTTAAATTCTAGTCTCTTTGTATTCATCAATGGCTCAATTATGGTATATTGACTTCCGAGGGCGGTGATGAAGGGCGTACCGCACGATGCAGTGCTGCTATCTACCTACCTGGCCGGACATTACCGTACCACGCGCAGTCACGCGTCGGTCTGACATCCTGGTAATAGTCGCAGTGGTCGCCCCATATGCAGCACATGTAGTATGGGGACAGGTCGGCGATCCCCGAGGACAACTCGGGCACCTGCAGGGATGAAATATGTGTGAACCTGAGTCTGTAGAGTTCTTGGCGTGCGCTCCAAAAAGTCTCTAGTCAGATTGTTGACCCCTATTCCGGGTCAGACTTTTTGATTCAATCTGATAATGACTCAATAAAGGGTTACTTGTTGACCCAGTGTTGTGTCAGATAGTCTCTGGGTCAAGAGTGACCCGCTTTCCGGTTCACATGTAGATTAAACCTTCTACCGGGTGAATTTGACCTGTTTTGGGGGGTTACCTGTGGTTTATCGGTGTATGATCCGGTATATGGTCGAATACAAAAAAATATTTCCGATTCAGAAATGGTTAATATATTAAACATTATAAAGATGATCCAGGAAATGTACTTGAGCGGGATTTGAACATCCGACCGCCGGCGCTCTATGAGGAGCTATCAGGCCAAAATGTGATGCTTATTTACACTCTGAAAAGTCCTATAGGCATATCGACGTGGAATCCGAGTTCTATTGGCCTGACACTTTCCGGGTTTTCTGCAGATGACCCTGATCAGGTTTTTTTTTTCTTCAGGCGACCCAGATACGTTGTGTTCAGGCGATTGGGGTTATGTTTTGGCAAACCAGATACGGGTCCAAAAAATCTGACAAGCTCTCCGGGTCAAACGGACCCGTAAAGAGTGTGAAACCCTAGGACTCTTCTCCTGCATGAAAAGATCTGACCCAAATTGGGTCGGATCTGACTCAGATTGGGTTAGATCTGACCCGCAACTTTTTAGAGTCTAGAGCCGATAAACTGCTTCTACTTCTGTATGATTGCCGGAAACCTGTTGTTGCTGATCATAACTTGTCTTTGGGAAATGCTCTTTTTAACAGGAAAAACGAGTTACTTCAAATAAAATTAGACGAAGGAAATCTTAAAGATATATACCTTTCCAGATTCGTTATAGAGCGGAATGCCCTCCACGGTGACCCTTCGCGAGAAGCTCCCTGATGAGCTGTCTCCTGCGTAGACTAGATTCTCCCACTCATCGTAGCAGCAGGTTGAGTCGTGGCCATCGCTTTGTTATGACATACAAAGAATACGCAGGAAGAGATGACATTCCAATGCACAGGGATATTACAAGGAAAATGTCGACTTCGACTGAACCAAATGAACTTATACGTCTGCAAAGACATCCATAGTTTAAGTCGTGGAAAACCTAAACCATTATGAAAAAAAAAGAGTTTAAATTGTCCAAAACAAGAACCATTATGAAATGGGTCATTGGGGAGGCTCCCAGATTTTACAGGTCGCTGACATCTTGATTTGGTGCAAATGACAAAAAAAAAGAGTTGAACGTCATCAGCATAGCAAACGAGAACCATTGTGAAAAAAAAGAGTTACGTTGATGAAAACAAGATCCATTAGAAATCAAACAGAGATAGATTATCTTTTGACAATTCTCTGCATTTTTTTTTGGGGGGGGGATATAATATTCCAGGTCAAAGAACAAACAAAAAAGAACTACCCAATATTTAGTGAAATAAATAGTAGTTGTCCTTCTTTGAAAAACACTGTTGACAACACTCACGAAGGGACGATGCTGGTGACGCAGTGAACCACGTCGTCTTTGAAACGACAATACTCCTGGGTACGGTTTTGCACGGTGTCGTCCATGTTGCACATGGGGTCGGGCTTGAAGCGCCCCCTGTCGGCCAGTGCCTGGGTCAGGTTGCAGGGGCAGGGACGCAGGCTGTTGAGGAGTTCCTTATCGACTCCAGCCGCCTTCTCCCGTTCGTAGAACTCGTCACAGCGGAGGTTGGAGTAGGTCGATGTGTCGTTCTGGAACATGCCGTTCATGATGTAGCCAAGGAAGTGCAGGTCGCTCCAGAGTGCCAGGTCGTCACTGCACAAAGTGGATGGAAAATGACATCATAATCGAAAGCTTTAGGCTACTGAGAGTCATGGTAGCCTCTCGCCGGCGAAAATGGGAACAATGCAGTCGATTGTGGCGATTACTCTGACTGATTGCAATAACGCCGCAAACCAGCCGAAGTGCTCTCCACTGGTTTGCGTTGTTCCTTCATAAGGCTAGAATGTTATCCAGACGGGGACCTCCACTATCCCCTCGCAAGGCTAAACAGCGCCCCTGTTAAGCCTGCCATCAGAAGCGAATTTTCTTACAGTTAGACTTAACAACAAGCCCTGGTAACTCGGAAAAGATACCCAAAACTTAGGTCCGTGTTGTCTAACAAATTGTCAAATCAGCCTTTTTTGAGAAAAGTGGTTGCAATAGGAGGGCGATGTTTTTATCCACAAATTTACCCAAAACCACAAAGCGCCAAACCTCGAAAAGCCAATGTAGTCTGATGAGCAATAATACAAATATCAGTTCGTTTTCCTTTTTTTTCCCCCAGCCTCACATCAATGTGCCTGCAACCTACCGTTGAAAGCTTGGCGTGACCCTGATGATACCGATGCAGTTCTTGTCGCTCACCTGGGAAGCTGCCCGCGATGTCCACGTGTACATGCCGGTGTTCGGCACAGTATAGGACACCTGACAATTAAAGTTGATTAATTAATGGATTAACTGAAACTTGACGGCTTTTCATTACACATTGCAAACGTCGCTCGAACCTGTAACCTCACAGTTTACCACACTCCTTTGCAGTGAAGAAACATTACTTGATCTTAACAAGAAACGCATAGCAGATCCAGTTCAACGAAGAACTGCTTAGTCAACAACCTCGTCCCCAGTGCTTATTTTATTTCCACCTCGTTTCCAATAGTACCAGGAAACTTTCTTACTGTATCCTGATTCGATACCGCCCTTGGCCAGTAATGGATTCATATCGTGTAGTTGTTGTTATTATTTACGTGCAGTACGTGTTTTCACGATCATTGCAATGATAACATCCTTCTCAAAAATACCCCTGTCCTCTCCAATTCCAATATGAAATGCGATACTGCATATTGGCAGGATAATATTGTAACATTTTAACTTCGAAAACAATCATGTTTTCGTAACTCACGGCGCGAATTGATTGTTTTTTACCCCAGACACCGCATGCAAAAACAAACGCTAATGTAGCGCACTGGTAGGCACCAGACTATTCCTCATTTGCATACTAGTTCAAAAATCTTGCACATGCAAATGATCCAATACCAGGATAAGAGAGCAGGTAGTGGTGGGCGCGTACCGCTTGACATCCTGAAGACGAGGCTGTTTAGTCAATGACAAAGTGATCAGAACAGATAATTTTTTGAACCTGTTCTACCCCTGGAACACACTTTTCAGATAATCGGATGCAGGAGGTAATGGGGAGATTAGTAAAGATCCTAACACTCGTAAGACAAAAACAAATAAATCTTAATTGCTTTGAGAGTTATAATTGTTCACGTTGGCGAGACACTGTCGCTAAACGTAAACCTGTCTTCAAATAGTTTGTGCTTGTCCTCATTTGTACGATTTTGTCAAGATCCATGAAGTCCATTTGTGCGACGTTAGTCCATCACCTATCAGTATGAGGACTTTCAAAGTTTGCACACTATTTCATGAGTAGACCATCTCGCACTAGTCATGGGTAGTTTTGAGTCACTCTCCAACCTCGAAAACCGCATGCTGCTTCACCATCTTTCCCCCATGGATTAGTCTGCTTGCGCGCAAGTAGAGCAGATCTGAGATCATTCTTGCGAACAACTTCACAAGTTCTCACAAGTCTTCCAGATGTTTCAACAATCCCCAAGTCGAGTCACAAGCCATCAAATGATCTGAGACAAAGGCATTTTTTATACTGCTTGATATACTTGTACGACGTATTCGACAAATACACACTGCTCTGGGGTTTTACAAAACGATAATTGTGTACCTCGTCAATCTCTTCCCAGGTAGGCGGTCCGGGCAGGCCAGTATCAGGGTCTATTGGCTCGCCGTAAGCCAACACGTCAATGCGGACCTGGGTGAAGTTGATTAACTTGGGGTTCCACTCGATGGTGACTGGTCGGTCGGCGCGAAGCCACGCCTCGCTGTCCGGGTTCACACGGGTCACGCGCTGTGGCGTATCTCCAATTTTCACTGGGTGCAATAAGAGGATTACAAAATGTCGACATAGTTTCTATAGTGCAGCCAGTTTGGTCATCCCTGCGATAACTAGATAGTATCATCATTTTTAACACTCGATGGAAAGTTGTTTCAGTTACAGTTTACGTTAGGGAAAGATTATAAGTCGTGACAGCATGGGAATATTGGGTACCAAAATAGGTAACACCCATCACCCCACTGAAACAAAATTACAGTGATAGATCAAGAGGGGTTTGGGGTTGGAACACCCCCCCCCCCTTCTGTGCCCGAGGAATGAGTGAGTAAGTTTACTCACCTATTTCAAACAGGCCGGTGTAGGCCCAGTCCACGCCTTCATTGTCGGACAGTTGAATTGGCATCCGGCGGTTCACCTCAAATAAGGTCGGTGTGAAGCAGTACACATCCACTTGGTGTGGTAGGTACAGTTCTGGATGGCCTTGGGCTCGTTCACGTCACCGAAGAGTAACGTGTAGTTGCCTGACGGAAGGAAGCAGGGTCCGGCCACGAGGAGCAACGATTGACCCAGCATGGAATCGTAGCGAGGGAAGGTTTTAATCTCACCTAGGTGCGATATAGTAAAACGTTGGTCATTTTGTAAAATAGTTTTACCGGATGGCAGACAAGATTCATCTATATTTAATGACAATTGACCCAAGACATTACGAGTCATGCTTTTTTATATTGACTCTCGACTCCACCTGGCTCTCATAGGCAAGCGCAAATGTAAAACAAACCATGACGCAATTCAGATCCATGCCATCATCCAGGTGTGCTGTTTTTACCGAGAAATCGTCCCCCATGTCAACATTTTAAAAAGCCCCCAGTCTCCCCCATGGTGAAAATGCTGCCTACGCCGCTGTGCCCACCTCAGGCACGTGGCTTCCCTCTAGGATCAGCCCCCCCCCCCCAAAAAAAAACTTTTCTTAATTTCTGACCTCTGCAGACCGGGTACTGCACGTTGATGCGACTGATTTGATACACGAACATGCCTGTCTCGTCGTTGTTGGTGTCTGCGGCAGTTTCTTCAGTTCTTGTGATTGGCCGCTGTACAGATTCTCTATGTAGTAATTGTCGTCATCTCCCGCATTGAAACCCATCTGTAATGTCATATTTGTTTTCTTTGAAATTGAAATTGTTCATTGCATTTTCTTGTCTTAATTACATTCTTGTGCGGTCATTTAGTTTGAAACAAAACCCCTGTGTTTTGAAATACATAGATGTCTCAAACTGTGACAA